TTTTTAATGAGCGCAGCTTTACGCACCAGCCGAATTTTTGCACGGTGTTTTTGAACGGAATTTCGTTCGTTTTAATATTAATTAATGGGGGGACGAACGCGTCTCGGTTTTTCGAATTTCCTGTCACGATTACGTATAATGGAATTATAAAAATATTCGTCATCCTGCGATTAAAAATTTAAGATTTGGAAATTTCAAATTATTATTATATTGATTAATATTAAAACGAACGAAATTCCGTTCAGAAACACCGTGCAAAAATTCGGCTGGTGCGTAAAGCTGCGCTCGTTAAAAAAAAAAAAAGTATCGCGAAATATTATGAAGATTTTGAATCACGTTTTTGAAAATGAAAAAAATCACGATCCGTAGTTTTGTAAGAATAAATATATTTCGTATATTATTATATTTGTATATTTAATTATTGATCGTTGAATAATCGTAGCGTTTTTACAAATTTATACCGCTTCGTAATCAACGATTATTAGCCGCGTTATAATTATCGATTCTTGCAATTTTCCAAGAAGAATTGTCTGAAAAACTTACCAATAATCCCCTTCTCCCCATCCCCTCTCGAAGTTGCCAACCCCATTGGAAGGAGAACTACTCCAGGATATTGACACGTATAATGCAATTAGCTGGCCGCGATCTCGAACACGCTTCTGGTGGTGGCGAGGGGAAGGTATTCGAAGCTGGATAGGGGGAGGATCGATCGTACCCTCGCTGCCCAATAATTGTAATTAGTAATCAACACCATTATGCGCCTACGGCCATCGGTCTCTCCCTCTAGCCATTAAGGCGATTGTATGATTTTCTTACAAACTCTCCTCGTTCGCATATTTCTTTTCGCCTGTTTAACCGTGCCCTTGAGGGAGAAGGGGGAGAAAAGAAAAAATTCTTTGACGATTCTCCGGCCCTCGGGGAGGATGGAGGGGGTGGCTTGGTTTTTATCGAGGAAGCGAAACGCGTTCGGCCGGTATAAAAAGAAAAGGGGGGAGAAAGAAATTTTGTTGGGAAATGGAGATGTTGGTATCGGAGGAAGGGGCCAAACGAGCAGGCAATTAAAATGAAAATCCGATTAGCATTTGAATTTGATGTAAATGAATTGAATCCGATGAAACGAGCCAATCAATTGTATGATATTTTTATAAAATTTAAGGTAAAGATTTGGTAAATAATAATTGTAATTTTGAATGCAATTTGCATTTTCGAGCAAAATATTTCTTAAAACGATCCTTCGAGATTCTTCAAGATGAAAAAAAGATAGGCTCCATCGAACTGGAACGATTTCAAGACTCGATTCCACCCGGATGACCCTGAAACCATTGCAAAAATTAATTATAAATCTGCGCCGATAATGAACGTTTCTCTCGGAAAATATGCCATGTCATTTACTCGCGTTATGCTTCATTGCTGTCATAACGAAGGAATTAAGAATGGGTTACCTATCTTTCTACACTTCTTTCATTACAGTTTAAATCGGTCTACGAATTATTCACACGATTTTTTCCTTCGAACTTCGATAATTCTCCGGAAACGTGATTTTGCCGTTTCTTTTTATCCCCGAAATCAATGATTCGAATCAAATTCGATGAACACAGCACAGTTTTCATTCTTCTTCTGAAAGATTTCTAACTCAATTGTACAGATCAATTTAATCCAAATATAAATATCCACGATACGTTACTTAACATTTTAACTTTCGTTTTAAAATTTGAAACTATCTAATAATGCCGCTCTCCATTGAAATTTAATAATTATTCGAGCGAAGAAGAATATTGAAAAAGGAAAAATTTTAGGAAACAAGAGAATCATTGAGGGAAAAACCGCGGGTTAATCTAAATTTACAAACTCCCCTCTTTCCCCTCTATCCGCTGCTGTTTCCATAAAACAATCCTCCGTAGGAGGAGGGCACGAAATGACGTTGAATTTTTCAAGAACGAACAACCTTTGCTTTCAGAATCCTTTTTTCCTCCCTTATACCAGGCCTCTCTCTCTTTCTCCCTCTCTCTCTCTTCTCTTTTTCTTTTTCTCTCTCTCTCTCTCTGTTTCTCTCTTTCTCTCGTTATTACAATACAGTCTTTCACAAGGACACGATATCCACGGCACAAAATAGCTTCTCATCTCCGGAGGAAAGGTAATTTTCCTTGCTCCCTCCCCTTCCCCTTCTCGGTCCTCTTGGTTTATACAGGAGCGCCGCTATAATTACGCTTAGTTTTAATTAACTTCGCGTGAATTTAAACATTTATTTCGGTGGATGAGTAGAGGAACGCTGTCTCCTCGCTTCGAAACATCCCTGAGATTGCTGACAAGGGGGGTGGACTCGGGTCCCTGGAACGTCTTTGTCCGTGGAAAACGTTTTTGGGAACTTTCTCAACCCGGATTCTGTAACGATTGTATCAATTTCCTTGGTAATTCAGATGTCCTTTGTTTATCCTATTAATTGATATTTAATTTTCATCATCAAAGATGATCTTAAATCGAATGTAAGTGTATAAAATTCGAAGATTATGATTACGCGTTTGAAGAGTGTTTTAAATAATTTTATACTCTATATTAGTTACGCTTTAGGAATAATATCGATGCAATTTCTTGTAGTATAACTATTTTTGTTTGAAGAAAAGAAAAGATGCAAAATTCAATTATAAATTAATGGAAATAAATTACAAGAACGAAGTATTAATTATACAAAAGAAAATGATGTATTTAAGATAATTAATGATCGAATAATTAATAAATAATTATTGGAAATTATTCATATAAATTAGTCTTTTTGTTTCGCTATATTATTCTATTCCAATTCATTTATTGTCATTCAAATTACGTGTATTTATATATCTCGATTTTTATATCATCATTTTCTTTTTGTATTCTCCAGTGTGATCGATGATTGATCTACGTAACAAGAAAGTATGAAAAATAAACATTATTTTCTAAAAATTTCAGCAAACTTGAAAAAAATAATAAAAATAAACATTACGAAATCTACTAGTCTAAAATAAATATATTCTATATAATACTATCTATTTAATAATTAAATAAAAAATTACATATAAAAAAAAAATAAATGAGACAAGACTCGAAAAAGTCGCGCGATATACAAAATATTATCCCTCTAACATTGCACGAATATTAAAAAAATACCGAACCAAATCATCACAATCTCAATCATTGAAAGCTCTCTCAAATCGTCCAGTGTTCCGCAAATAATATCCCTAGAAATCGGATTGGCCTAATTACGCGCCTGTTATTAATATTCTTGGCATAGGCCCGCAACCACGCGGTCTGATTATTCCCGAAAATTATCGCGCGGTGTCCAAACGTTGGTAGAGGGAGAGAGAGCCGAGATCTGGGCGCATGAGTCCGGCGAATGCCATTATTTCGAGGCCGACAGACGTGTCTGGCCCGGACTTAAATGGGCTTGGACAATCGGTGGCCCATTAGCTCGCAGTCCGCGCCATTAAAATCAGACACCCCTCCCCTTCTCCCCCTCCTCCTCCTCCTTCTCATCCCCCTTCCCGCCTCCTCGAACCGCTGGTCTCGGGCGTAATGCTAAACTCGTTACCAAAATTTTCGGAGCTGATGTGCCCAGCCGCCCGTGAGGAAGAGGCAGCGAAGGGGACAGCCCGGCCAAGTGGACATCAACCGAGAATGGCCGAGAATTACCAACCGAGAATTCACGAGAAAACGACGATCCGTTCGATCGATGGACGGATTTGATTAATCGAGATATCGAAATTACTTCTTCTCGAATCGATATTCTCGAGATTCGAACTTAAGGAAAAGATGCCGCTCTTCTCTTGCGCGGTATCGTTGTCGTGAAGGGAAATATAATGCTTTATGTTCTATCACGTTCGTGAAAATTTTATTTTCCAGCGATAGATGGTTTATTAGAATATTGTGATACATGATTTTGAATTTTATTATATACTTGTTATACTTTGTTATTATTTACTTGGTTTCCTCTCTATTGTTCGAATATTGCTTTCTTTCACAAATAAATCTCTTTTTTTTGAATTCATAAAAATATAATAATTCAAATTACAAGTATATGTTTCAGACATTGTCAGTCTTCGTCTTCATATTATATTTATTCTTGATACTTGATTAACGTAAGGTGTAGCGTAAATTTTACGAACAAAAAAGAAAAATATTGTCGCTCGTTTCGATCGAAATTCGAGCGAAAACTGGCCAAGAGAAAGGAGGGTGAGTAGGGAAACTCAGGGAGGCCTGAAAAGCAACGAGCGAGCGTTGTAGCGGGTGGAGGAGCATTACGGACATTAGATTGGGACACGAGTGCAATAAACCTATCTGTATAATCTGCCCTGCAGGAATTAACAGCCCTCTGAAGGTAGCCACTAACGAAGTAATTCACTGGATGAACGTCGGGGATGGTGGGGAGGGGCGAAAGGAGCACGCGGGGGTGGAAACACCGAACCCTCGTGTATATAGGACGGTCCAAAATTGAGATTTAGATCGAATCGCTGCTTTCAAAATTGATAATGGACGGTAGATTGATAGAGTGTCAAAAGAAAGGAACATCTGCGACCATTTTTTTTTTAAAATAATTTCGATCGAAATTCTAATTCTACACGGATTTTCTCGAATCGGAAATGAAAATTGACAGATTTACATAAATTCGTTAACGATGTTAATGATGATTGGAATATGATTGGTATATTTTCTAATATTTTCTAAAACTCTTGTTAATTTTATTATTCGACAATTATCGAAATACAATTATTTTTTGAAAAAAAAAAAGAAAATATGAATCAATGGATCAGAAAATGTGTGAATTAAATAAGTGCGGAAGAATAAATAATAATTTTTTTTCTTTTCGCGAATACATTCTTTTTGATCAAGATATTCTAAGTCAGATAGAGATAATGCCAATTATTCTTTTTTCTATAATTTTGAAAATGATTGCGAAGACAATGATGTAGGATTTTGTTACATAAACGATGATCCATTGCACGTTATTTGAAAGGCATTGTAGTAGAATTGGAATCGAACGAGAAATAGAGAGGGCAGGTAGATATAATAGCCACAGGGAGCTGGAAATGTGGGTAATTGCTGACTTAGAGCCTGCCATTTTCCTCATATAGTTACAACCGCGAAACCCCCTAGCGGGCCACAATTTATTTATGTCGATACTTTCTTGATTTGTCGACTCCTGCCGCTCATTTATATCCTCCTCGAACCAACCGTATATACATTTCGCTTCAGGAACGTATTATTCGTCCGTCCAACTTCCTAAGTTTCGTACATGTTCTCGATCAACCCCTCTTTTTTCTTTCGAACGAGAAGAATATATATATATTTTATATTTATATAAGATTAATCAAAGAAATATTGTAGTTTGTACTATGTGAAATTTATTTCATTTAAAGGGTTAAATGTTACATAATATTGCATCTCTCCGTTGAATGAAAGTAACTCTTTGTGTTATTCTCTCTCTCTCTT